ACTATTCATCTTCATATTATAAAATAAAAAGTTTACAGGAAAAAACCTTAACATCTCATCCCCAAACTTCAACTTACTTCCTGTTGAACTTGGTTTTATATTTTACTCTTGATTTAAAGTTGTGGATAATATTATAAGAAATCATGAAGTTATCAAGTTTATTTTAAGATCTCCAATTGTGGAATCAAAAGAGGCATTTTTTTCCTGCGTGATTTAGGATTGGATAGACAACTAATCCATCCTTGTATAACTAGAAATTATTTAAATTGTTACTCTTAGTTGATGAACCCTCTGATGGATTTTTTTTTGAATACTCTATATTTTGCCCCACATTATTTTTTTCATTCTCATTCTTCTACTCATTTTCAACTCCACATTTTTCAATAAAATAATATTTTCCATCACATCAATAATATTTCCTTCTTTTTCAACCACACATTTTTCATCAATCTACTATTTCAAAATACATTCTTCCAAAATAATGTGGTTCAAACACATCCTTATTTTTATATTGTATAATTGTATCAATTTTTTTATTAAGCCTCTATCCAAGCTCCATTTTAATGTGATTTTGGAAGAAAATATATTTTGGAGTAGTAATTTTTTTTTGAAAAAAGAGTAGTCAAAAGATAAAAAAAAAAATTGGATTTACGTGTAATATTACTTTATAGAAGAAAGTTTAATTAAAAATGAATTCTGAAAAAATATATTTTGAGAATAATAAAGCCCAAACGTTGGCTAAAATGTCTCGTGAGAGAGACACTCCATTTTTTCGAAGAGCAGAATAAGAAAACATTTATTTTAATGGGCGATGTGAACGACATGTTTTGGACCAAAATGTCTTGATGGAAAGATTATAGACTAAATTTTGATTGCAAAATACATTGAAAACCAATACAACATTTTTTTCATATCATAAATACTTTCGTACTTTAATATTTGAGAAAACATATATTGACAAAAACTTGAGAAGAATGTCATTTTTCATTGTATTTTAAAGAATCTAGGGGTGTATTCAATTGAGACTTTTATAAACTTTTAAAAAGTCTCTATAAGTTTTGGGGTATTCAATTTTTTATGACTTTTAGAGAGTTTAATAAAAATCTTCATGGTACTAACTTTTAAGCAGAAAGTACTTAAATAAATTCTTAAAATTTGTCTCTCATTAATCACAAGATTTTGGGAGACTTTCACACAAAAAAAAGAAGAAATTAATATGTA